ATTTATATCTCAGCGACTCAGACGAAAATTGAGCTGGCCTTAACAAATCGATTTAGCCGTTGAACTGTTCAAAAACTATGGCATCTTAGTTTGATTTTTTCTGTGCTGTTGTTCCTATTTATCTAAAGATAAATCTATCAAAGTCTGTCTTTTATTCAGTTTAAACCGTTAGAAATGTATTTAGTCTTGGTTTGAATTGTTTCTGTGCTTTTCTTTTTATCTTTTCTGTAATATTTGTTTTTTACAGTTAGACAATCTTGGGGTGAATTGTTTTCTATTCTTTCCAAGATCTGTTAAATGAATCTAGACAAGCACTAAAGGTTAATGTGCTGTCAGAGTTTATTTAGATGTATATTATATGAGGTATTTTGTTGATAAGAATAGGTATAATATATCATGACAAGACATCTCTACTCGGTGATTAAATCGTCTTATCTTTTGTATTAGTTTAAAGGCTATAGAATTCGCCATTCCCCCTAGCTGAGTTATCTTGTGCCAAGTGGCAAACGGTTTGAGAAGAAATGAAATGGGGTTTTACGCCCTACGCCATGCAGTGTGCTATGATGGAAATTTTGCCCGGGCAACTGCACCATGGCCCACTCTTATATCGATTTCCAACTGCCAAAGGATCTTTTGCGTGCACGCCAATGTGTATACGGGACCTCGTTTTTCGTACCCTCCGAACGTCTAGACAGCTGTCCTTGCCAGGCCCTCCGTCCTGCACGCAAACGGCATGAAGAATCGAGGTGTCCCGTGAACAACTTGGCGTGCACGGAATAGAGCCATTGCCAATAGTTATGATTCTAGCTACGTTATTTTGTGCCAAGAAGAAGGGGTTAACTTAGTGGCGATTGTCATACACAAGAAGGGTATGCTTAGTCATCGGGTAGGAAGGTGGGGGCGCTGGGCACAGGTTCTAGTGTATATGTATTTTGATTTTATTAATGAGGATGTTGGTAATATAGATGGTATATTGGTCTTGAAATGAAATGGGGTTTAAGTTAAGTGGCGCTGGCTTGTGTTTACCATATCCCATATATCGCCTGCAGTTGATACCGAATGGTGACAACTTTTCAAGACATCATATCCTTGTAAATACAGGACGGAATTAAACAATTTTGGACTGGGATTTCTTTTAGAGATTCAGATGTAATTTCCAAGGGAAATGATAATACGAGAATTTGATATACAACAATGTTACTCGTCGTTTCAACGTAAAATACAAGCTGGGTGTATTTGGGTTTTTATTAACATTACAGATGTAATGTTCTGTAGACAATGGGTTATTTAATTGGTTAATGCGGGTTATTTTACTAACAATACGATATAAACTGTATCCCACAGCTATAAACGGGTTATCACAATATATTTACAGTTTGGGTTTTTTTAATTTACGGAATCAAAGATGTAATGTTTTGTAACAGAATGGGTTAATTTGGTGGTTAATGTGAGTTATGTTACCAACAATACAATATAGACTGTATCCCACAGATATAAACGGGTTATCACAATATATTTACCGTTTAACTAGCAATAAGCAAAATGGAACAGAGTAACTGTGTATTAATGATGGGGTTGATGGTGCTGTGTTTCTGTCAATACAATACATGCCGTATCTCGCAGCTATAAACAGTTTATCACAATATATTTACCATTTGGCTAAAAATAAGAAACTGGAAGGGATATCTGAGGCTTAATGGGTGATGGTGCTACGTATCTTACCATACACCCTGTAAATTATACCTGGTGGTTATAAACAGTGGATCAGGTGAGAGAATATATTTACACTGGTTTCTGGTTGGTGAAAGCAGATTTATTATATCTACAAGTTACCGACCTTAAGGTCATCTAAGTACAGGTATACACCCTTCTTCCTGCTGGCTTCATCCTGATTCCATAATAAACAAACAGACCATTCTACCTGCTGGCTTCATACTGAATCCATAATAAACACATAGACTATATATTATATATAAGAGAGAGAGAGAAAGAGATAGAGAGAGAGGGAGAGAGAGAGAGGGGGGGGTAATGTTCACTCGACACTAGGTCATTTCTGGACTAACATATGATTTAATTTTATTTCAATTATTCGCTTGCGCGTATGGGTCTTTAGCTGTGAGAGGAACCCGGAGGACCCTACTCCTTGTCACGTACAACCGGGGAATCGAATCCCCGCCAGTTGACTCAATGACAGACCTTATGATTATACTGGAGAAACCTTATGAAATAAAACTGAGGAAATAAAATTAGATTCCACGCCCTAACTTTCTGCTCCGTCCGAGCTATAAGTGAAATTTATCCCGGAGAATGGTGCAACCGCCTACTCTTATTTCGAATTCCAACTCTCAAGGGTCCTTTTATCATTTACGCCTGTCTTCATTAGCCCAGTCAGAAGCAGAACAGTAGGACATTAAACTCCATTTCATTTCACCATTTACGCCCGTGTGTTTTTCGTCCCATCCGAACGACTAGACGCTGTTTCTGCGCCACTGACAATGGGAAACCACACCGCCAAATCTCTAGGAATTCAATTGGTCTTGCGTAAAATTATGTAAATTAATACGCTGATTGCAAACTGCAAAACGCTTTTGTGATTGTCTCCCTTGCATTCCGACCATTTACATCAATGGACAATAGGCAATGTTGTAAAAGTTAAATATTAGTGTGCAATAAAATGGAAAGGGGTTTAGGTCCCTACTGTTCTGCTCCCACTGGACTAACAAAGACAGTGTGGTATGAGGAAATTTTACTATGGCCTACTCTAATATCGAATTCCAACTGACAAGGGTTCTTTTACGTGCACGCCAGTATGTACACGGGATCAAGGTTTTTCGTCCCATCCGCACGACTATACATGGCACTTGCCGGATGAGCTTTCTTGGTCCGTGCAGGGATCGGGAGAGAGAAATGGGGTTTAACGTCCACTCGACACAAACTCGGTCATTTCGGGACTAACATATGGTTTAATTTTATTTCAATGATTCGCTTGCGCGTAGGGGTCTTTAGCAGTGGGGGGGGGGACCGGAGGGCCCGGAGAAAACCCACGAGGTTGGACAGGCGAACCTACTCCTTGTCCCGGACAGTAATAGGTGAGAAGATTAACCCCGATTATTTTTACCCATGCCTCCGCGATTTCGGTAAATGTGGATTTTTCTCCGGGTCCTCGGGTTTTACCCGCAACCGCTAAAATTCAATACATTCAAGCTAATTTTTGCAATAAAAATCCATTCAAGTAAATTCCGAAAGTGGACGTTAAACCCCATTATATTAATTATAACAAGAACAAGAATTTGATTTGACATACTTGTGCGCGTGTCAAGATTTGATCGGTGGAATTATATCGTTAGTCTTTGTTACGGTTTAAAGATCGGTTGGAGGCAGATGTAGTTCGTCTATTTATAGCAATTATCTCTCTCTTTTCTCCCCTTTTGCACACCTATTGGGAGGCATACCACCATTAATTTCCCCATTGACTTCAATGTTAATTTTGGCCTCTGTGCCCAACTCCAACTTTTCCCCAAATTTTCGTTCGGCTGAATGCTTTTCACTACAGACAGAGGAACAAATGGTCATGTCTTTGCACTAAAATTTGTATGAGGTTGACCACCAAAATTTTGAGATACACAAACTTGAAGAAGCATACTAAAAACATGTAACTAGTTGCCGTACATATCGCCGTAGCCAACCTGATAACCCCGTTATCCTTCCGCCTCAAAATCATGAATATTTACCAAACCCTGGCAGAAAATGTTAATTCAAACCCTCTTCGTCCATTCTAGACCCAAAATCAACAAAAATGGGCATGCAAAAGGGGAGAAAAGAGAGAGAGAGAATTGCTATAAATAAACGAACTACAATTCGTGGGTACGTCTATTTATAACAATTCTCTCCCTGTCTCTTTTCTCCCCCTTTGTATGCCCAGTTTGGTTGATTTTTTGGTCTAGAATGGATGAAACTGGTTTGAATTAACATTTTCTGCCAGGTTTTGGTAAATATTCATGATTTTGAATAGTTACATGTTGTAGTATGCTTCTTCAAGTTTGTATCTCAAAATTTTGGTGGTCAACATTTTGGTGCAAAAACATGACCATTTGTTTTTCTGCCTGTAATAAAAAGCATTCAGCCCAACGAAAAATTGGGGAAACGTTGGAGGTGGGCAAAGAGGCCAGAATAAACATTGAAGTCAATGGGGAAATTAATGGTAGTCTGTCCATTGTCGTTATGTGGAGTTACTTCCCTTGAAATAGACCTAAAGCTTTTCAGATAGTAACCCTCACCCCAGACTATAATATAAAATATATTCTCTAGGTGTTCGAGGACTAGTAGACCTCTGCAGAAAAGACATGATGACATGTCAGTCGCAATATAATCTCGCTTAGGTGACACACGCCTGATTGTGAAAAGAAAAGATATGATGGAACATGGCAGTTATCTCCCCTGCCCATTGATTGAGTCAGACGGTCGATTTATGAATGACTACAGTATTTACGTTTACATTGTATGACTTCATTTTCCTTTTTGTGGATTTGGGTGGTCGAGTGCTCTAACGCATACCCTGTAGATCACAGTGGCGTGGTTTTAATGATGATGGTAGTAGGGGACGAATGGTTAAACGCGTGCACGTAAGATAACAAGACGGGGTTGGGATGGCCTAGTGGTCTAGAATGCCGCGCTTCGACCCCTAGCTGCCCGATCACCTCTGGCTTGCGGTTGTGGTTTCGATTCCCGGATGTTAGCGTATGTGGGTCAACCTTATGGGTTTACTCCGGGTACTCCGGTTTCCCCTCACAGGAAAGACCCCTGCGTGTCTGCGACATCACCTTCGGCGAAAGCGGACGTTAAAAACTAAGAACAACATCACAAGGTCTGACATTGAGTCAAGTGGTGAAGTTGCGAATCCCCGTTTGTTAGTCCCGATATGACCTAGTTTAATAATGTAGGCTACTGGTCCGCTATGGTCCCTGTCGTACCCATCATTGTTAAAATAAACAAATGCAATACATGATTTCAGTTTTATTGTTTTATCAGCTAATTGTTATAAAATCTACACAATGTTAAGCACAGAGAACGACTCGTTTCTAAGTAAAAACAAAAACTACATATATCTATACATAATGTAAATAAAAAAAAACAAATAATATAAAGATACTATACGGTTAACATTTAAATAATATGTCATGTCTTCATTCATAGCTTCTGAATGCCACGGAAACTTAATCTGAAATAGTTTAAGAATGCAGCTTTTTCATCGGCTAAGAGCTAGAAAATTTGTATATGGAGAAAACACGACATGGTTCGAATACTCGCGATCATATTCTAATACAGATTTAAAATAAAACTCTATACTCGAATAATCTTTCGACGGTGACGTGTATCATCGGTCGCACAGACGACACTACACTTAGACCGGTCTAGTACAGCAAATTTTCAAATTTGGAAACTTAATAGGTTCAGTAGGTGTATCTTGCCCGTTACATATCACGCGATTATCGTGTCGTTTTCCATGATAGCTGACACGATAATAACTTCGTGTGACACTCAACTATGACCGCGTAACATGACACGATGATAACTTCGTGTGACACTCAACTATAACCGCGTAACATGACACGATGATAACTTCGTGTGACACTCAACTATAACAGCGTAACATGACACGATGATAACTTCGTGTGACACTCAACTATAACCGCGTAACATGACACGATAATAACTTCGTGTGACACTCAACTATAACCGCGTAACATGACACGATGATAACTTCGTGTGACACTCAACTATAACCGCGTAACATGACACGATAATAACTTTGTGTGACACTCAACTATAACCGCGTAACATGACACGATAATAACTTCGTGTAACACTATAACTGCGTAACATGACGCATGAGCTCACTTATTTGTATTTATACACAAATCAATGTAAAATAAGGTAATAAACATACTTATGGAAAACAACGAGGTGTTCTAAGAGAATTGCCCCAAAGTCATAAAACTAACAAATAAATTAGTAGCTGTTTTCCATATGTATTATAGTTTAGCTTGATGACGCTGAAAGAACACACTTTGAAACGTCGCCCAAAAAAATGAGTTGCTGGGGTTTTCCATAGTATGTGTTATAGTTTATTACTCTCAGTAACGTTTACCAATATAGGTCCTCAAATGGCAACATACGAAACACTATAATAACAATAATTAACATTAACTACCACAAATAATTCAAAATAAACATATAGAAAATACAACTGTATCTATCAAGCAGGAGCTAAGTGAGAGGGGTGCAATGACGAGTTTTGAGTCATGGTTTCGAGTTTTTGCGCCTCCCCCCCCCCCACTTAAGTTTTTGTGTCCCCTCGCAAATGTTTTGCGGTTTCAATGCGGTTTTCAACATTATAACCATAATTGTGGGTTAGATATGCTACAAATCGACTCTAGCATGTTCCACACAGCCCAATTTTACCAGGGAGTACTGGGTGGGACCACCCCACACCACGGACGGGGGCGGGGCCGGATCTTGTCCCTAATGCAAAATCATGGGTCATCACACCCCTGCAACTAAGTGACAATGTGATAGCTTTTAAATACAAGATCAAAATGGTTCTACTGACAAAACGGTTATAAGAGTTAACGCAAACGTATTCCAACAATTTTCTTGCTCTATTGATCTTAAGTGTACGTAACGTTATAAATACGTCGTGCAACATGGCCCTAAAATACACAACACTAGGAAGGTCAAAGAAAATAACCTAAAACAATACAAAGGATTATTTCAATACAAAATCATTATTGGTTCGAGAGTCCCTGTGGATTCTCAAAACAAGTGGACGTTGAACATCATTTACCTCCTTCCTATTATCACAAGGAGTAATATATTATAATTAATACACAAATATGTATCCTAATGTATGAATGCTACATACCAATAGCTTCCTGAAACAACTTAATAATACTACAGAAAGGCACAGAAAATATTTAATCGAGTTATCTCCCTTCATATGTTATGCACACAAAGAGATGCGCTGAGGGCTGATAACAAAATACTCTTAAATCTATGGATATTCTATGTATCACGTGACAACTAAAGATATACTAACAATTAATATAAATAGATACAAGATAATAAAGATAATTACAAAACAACTTCATCAAGGAAGGAGCTACCAGATCCATAATAAAGATAAACAAAAAACAAAAGGATGTTAAAGATACATTATGTAAGATTTAGATAAAGACCTAGTCGGTCTTGCTCTAATAGTTCAAAAACAGAGAATGAAAAATTAATATTTTGACGATTTCTGTCAAATTACTTTAGTCTCAGCGAAGTTTTGAGTTTTAAAAAGATAGTCTCGATTGTCGATTACCATTGCTACTATAATAAGCAGAGTGTCGACTGTCCATTTTATCGCTTAAGAGTAAGCGAAATGGTTCTAATCCAATAAATATCTAAATCATCCAATGGTCCAGGGAGTTAACTACAGGTTTGTCATGTGAATAAATGTTTACATGCCCTAGCGTAAAAGCTCTTACATAATGAATCTTTTATATTTATAATAAATGTTACATGACAAATACAAAACAACATTATTAATTAAAACTTGAAACATGTTCCCTATGGAGTTCGGTGTCCCAGTCCAAGGAACACCTTCCAGGATCCAACTAACTTTTAAACCAGCCAGGAAGGAACTACCCGATCCATTCATCAACAACAAAAGGTTGAAAAGCACAAGTTTACGATCCAATCACACATATCACCACTGCGGAATAACGATTATTATATTATTTTTGTGTTGATCAAGAATAATAAATTGACCTTCTATTTCTCAGCAAACACAAATTCGTGTAAAGAGCCTTGTATATTTTACTTCAGCACAGTACAAACACAAATAAAATGTATGGTACTGAATTGTCGGGGCACTGAACTGTTAAAAATCTGGTACCCGGACAAAGTCATACACTCATTATTACCTTAACATTGTCAAGATGCCCTACTATACAATCAATCCTAAATTACCATAACGATCACCACTGATTCTGTCAACATCCCAAAGTCTTTCACATTGTATCTAATCTGTGTATTACTCTTTCAGCAACTCACAATACAACTGTGATTAATTAAAAAACGTTCTGTTTTCTGGATTTGTATAATATTCCACGGCATGATGAGTGTCTTACTGCAAGTCTATATAAGTAAAAAGCGCTTTGTCGTTAGCGACAACACAACAGTAGGTGATCGAAACACGTTACGTAATCCAAATTATATCGTGTAACACTATGAATAGGAGCGGGTGACACGATAATTGGCCAAACTCACATCGTGTTACACGATATTTTTATCCAAATCACCGCGCACAACAAAATATCATAAAGCACAAAGACTATTTTTGATTTATTATATATAATACGTTTAGCAATTCTAGCTACATGCGTGATATCATAAATTTTGTAATTGTCTCAAATCCACGTTTAAAGCTCCATGTAAAATATACACTCTGGCAACTTGGGTAATAAAATTGTTTAAAATACGGCCCACGAGCAACATCATTCGGTATGACAAAAATAAAATATCCGTCACCAACCAAATATCCCATTTGTTGAACTTTGCTGTAAGACGCAAGAATTATTGCTCCTGTGTAGTGCTGTAAAACGATTCCTGATGATATTAGAAGGCAAAGGTCGTGAAGGTCGTAACAAAATGAATATTCATGAAAGTTAAATCTCCCCTCACAAAATAAACTCCAACATTTTCTTAAACACACGAGATTTCGGTCGACGTGATACAAAAATGACGTAATTGGGTTATTTATCAATGTTTTTGCTTTATTTGGTGCTTCTTTAAGTGACGTCAGCAGATTATTTATCAATGAATAAAGGTGCCATTGGTATTAGCCTTATAAGGAGCTTCTACTATAAGTCGTCCACCATCAGTAAAGAAAGCTTTAACTGTGATTGGATCAACTGTATCGGGAATATTATATTCACGGCATAATTCTTTACTAGATGATCTGTTGGCTTCCTTTACCTCTCTTCGTCCACTCACAACCACTTTCTTGTCCACCGTCTTCACCGTCAGCTCCTCCGGGGCGAAGTCTTCGATATCTATCTCCACTTTAAATTTAGTATCTTTCTGAATGGTAATGACGTTGGAAGCAGCCGCCGGCTTAGTGTGCTGTTGATAGGATGGAGGTTGTTGGTAGGGTGCCCCTGGTGGAGACTGCATCGTATGTACGGGAGTGGATTGATGGAATACTGGAGCACTCCTATCCTGGTGGACCGAATGGGATGGTGAGGATTGGTAAGGGGGTGCCTGGGATTGGTAAGCAGGGCTGGGGGTATAATTAGGTACCTGCTGATAGGGGTGCGAGGATGGCGGTGGAGGCGGTTGACTTTGATATTTAGGCGCCACGTTGGCTGTCGTCTGGAACTGCTGTGGCTGCTGATAAGATGACGTTGGTGGAGGCGGGGCTGACGTCACAGAATATTGTGGTGTTGGAAATGGTGCCTCTACACACAAAACGCCTTCTTTGGATATAGAACATTGCAAGGACATGGGGTCGATTTCTCGAGGAATATTTATCTCTCGACTAAATTCTCTGCTCACACTTTTACCACCATCTTTGGTTTCATGTTTAGCGTGAACCTGCATCTTATTGGCATCCATTTTGACATTTACCTCGTCTGGCTTGTAATCGCTGACGTCAAACCTAACCCTAAACACGGGGTTACCGCGTTCGTCCTTCTCTATTAAAGCTTTGCCTTCATCTCGTAAAGGGGCGCGATCATCGCGACTAGGTTGTATTCGATCAGCCAGACCAAATTTGTCCGATAAAGGAAACTTGCCAGTTTCTGGTCGTAGTGTAAAAAAATCGCTGCTCATCTTCTCGATTTCGTCCTCCCATTCTCGACGTCTGCTCTCCATATCTCGCTCCATATCTTCCCAAATTTTACTCCGATTATCGTCAAATCCAAAACTATCTTTAGTTATAGGAATTCTCGTAGCCATTGGTTACCGGAACACGTAAACAATCTGAAAAGAGAAATACGGATACATTAATCAAATATTCTGATCACGTGCCTTCACGATGACACGTTCAAATCTCAGAGATTCCAATCTAATTTAGTTATGGATGTCGTGCAAGGGGCAGCATATGTTAATAATTTACAACCATCTAATACCACGTTTTATTTGAGAAATTGAAATATGCAAAACAGTTTTGTTCTATTTTTGATGCAGGACGGAGAGCCTAACAAGGACAGCTGTCTAGTCGTTCGGATGGGACGGAAAACCAAGGTTCCGACTACACATTGACGTGCACGTAAAAGATCCATTGACAGTTGGAATTCGATATAAGAATAGGCCGTAGTGCCGCTGTCCGGGCAAAATTCCCTCATAGCACATTATATGGCGTATGCCCGTCTTCATTAGTTCGGAGCAAAAAAGGAGAACGTTAAACTCCATTTCATTTCATTTGTTTTATTTTTGTATTTTTGCACCCGTGTTGTAGAGTTACATGATGCAGTTCGCAATAAAAATTTATACAGACTGGGAGGGATTAGTCAATGGGGCAAAAGGTGGAACTCTCTCTAGGAAAATAAAGAATGTTTCGTACGTCAATGACATCAAGACTTGTGAACACGGTACAGAACAGGGATCTTTATCGCGATTTTTTTCAAAACTGAGTTGATGTGTTGACATTGAATTAACATCTAGCATTGGCGAAGTTGCTGCTTATATTTATGGGAGCTTTAGAGGGCCTGACAAGACCCAGCTATATTGCTTTTACAGGTAGTCAAATATATCCAGCTATAGTTATAGGATTTACCGGAAGTGTAATAGGCAAATGTCTGTGTATAATACACAGTGTATCCTTGACAACCGTGGAAATCTACGGATGTAGATGATACAGGGTAACAGCTCTACTAATTCAACGTCATATGTTTTACATTTTCCAGCGTGGTTTCCTCTCTGTTCATTGATGCTGGATGGAGACACTGTCAAAGAACAGTGTCTAGTCGTACGGATAGGGCGAACACGGAGGTCCCGTGTAAACGATGTTTTGACAACTGAAATTCGGTGAACATAAGGCGGAAATACCGCTGTCTAGGCAACGCCGGATTAACCATGGTGGGGGCCCTGGGGCCTTGAACATGTGGGGGCCCCTTATCACCGACCGTGGAGCTGTGTCGGCCACCTCGATCGTTGAAATTGGAGGCCGGAAAAGTGATTTCCTGGCATTTCAGGCAATTGTGTGGGAGCCATTTAGAAGTACCTCCCCCAGAAAAAAATAAAATTCTGCCACAAAATTAGCGCATTCTGGCGTTATTTCAGTGGACCAATCCATGCGAGTGCTATGAAATGATGGCATTTCTAGAGGAGAGGGCAGGAGCCCATTGAGCCCGTTAAATCCGCCACTGTAAGTGAGCAGAGCTACATCAAACCTAATTTTGAAGTCGCTCAGTGATAAATAACGGGGTCACTTGATTCGGAATCGTATTATATCCCCCCCCCCCCGATGATTTGATGAATGGAGGCCGTAACGTTACGACCAAGCCGGACTAGATTTTTGACGAACATCGAAAACATGAGGCGGCATCACCGGATTACACCGAATTCTCGACACACCATGGATTGAGGGGGCCCCAGGGACTTCCGATGGAGGGCCCTCGGACATCGGAAGTCCCTGGGGCCCCGTCACTAGGTCACCGGCCGTTGGAGTCCTCGGTCCGACCATGCTCGAGGCGCCCAACTGAGATTTTTGTGGGGGGCCCTCTAATGTGGGGGGCCCTGGGGCCTATCCGGCGTTGTGTCTGGGTGAAATTCCTCTCCTGATACATTACGCGGTGTGAACCGGTCTTAAGTATCCCGGTTGATACAGAAAAGTAGGACATTAAAGGAGCTAAATCGCTAATATTTGGGACCCAGAAATTGACACAAATAGGTCGCAACGCATATAATAATGTAATGTGAATCTATATAAACTGATTTACATTCAACCGTTTGCGTTTTTACTCTAATATCAAATCAGTTATGTTCGGCGAAATACGCCAGAAGTGTCAATTGAATGGCAATCGCTAGCGTCTGGTTGTTCCAGTCTACATCGATAGTATTTATTACCCATGCTCTCCAGATAAGAATATGGCCTCGCCATTTAACATGACTTGTAGAATATGTCTAGCTTCGTTCTTCGAGTCCCTTATTACAAATGGCGCTAAAACGCATCATGGTACACGATTCGTGTACCAATGGTAAAATGTTTATTTTGTCTTAAATATTGGATACCAGAAGCCCATCTTTTCACGATACGATAACAACACCAATGTTGATTTAAAATGACAAATAATTTGCGTTTTCATTGTCAAAGACTTTGGATGATACTGAGTTAGAGACTTAGCTACTTTAAACTCCTCTTTCAATTTTACAATATGAATCCTTTCACTGCGTAAGTTGTCGAGATATGACTAATTGATAACCAGGCATGTTTAAACCTCGGTTGGGTATTTAACACGTGACTCTAGTCTTAAAATATTTGATAACGCCAGAATGTTTCTTAGTCTACGATTACAGAAAAAACTTGATGAAGCCAGGATGCTTCTCAATCGACGATCAGAGAAAAATTTGATGAAGCCAGGATTCTTTTCACTCGGCTATCCGAGATAACTTCAACACACATCTATCCGTCTATCTAGACCTATTTCTACCCTCTGAATGTCGACTACCGACTATCTATAGCGATAGACCCAGCAATCTCTCTCCGTGATAAACTCGTGAAATATAACACGCCTGCTATAAATACTCCTCACAGTTTTAATTTCTTTATCAGTTTTAATCAGTTTCACCTGGTTCCAATTTAATACAAGCCAAAGAATATGTTTTATATAAGGTCTCACTTCGGTCGTTTAACAGTACATTAAGAGAGAGAGAGGGAGAGAGAGGGAGGGGAGAGGGAGAGGGAGAGGGAGAGGGGGACTTAACGTCCACTCGATACAAACTAGCTCATTTACGGACTAATATATTGTTCAATTTTATTTCAACAGTTCACTTGCGGCGTTGAGGTGTTTAGCGATGGGAGGGAAACTGAAGGACCCGGAGAAAACCCACGAGGCTGGACAGGCGACTCTATACCTTGTCACGTACCACCGAGGAATCGAAACAACGCCAGCTGGCTCAATGACAGACCTTGTGATACAGCGCGCTCCAACAGTACATTAAATAACTCTACTAGTAAACTGCGTTTATAAATGAGGTGAAACTGGGTTTAACGGCCTACTCTTATATCGAATTATAACTGCCAAGGGATCTTTTATCGTGGTTCAGCGGGTTAAACGTTAGCTCACTAAACTGGAGATCGTATGTTCGATCCCTTGCATTTGGCCAAGCTAAAGTTCATCGGATTTTCCGGCGTGGTTCCCCTTTATTAGTGATGCATGACAGAGGGACTGACAAGGGACAGCGTATAGTCGTTCAGATGGTACGAAAAAAACTCGGTCCTGTGTACACATTGTCGTGCACGAAAAAGATCCCTTGGCAGTTGGAATTTTATTTCATTTCACAAATACTGACACACTGTCACATGGAAATGTTATGGTATTTGAGGAATGAGATTTATAAATATATTTATGACATGACCTGTAGATATTGATGTTATTTAAATAAATATATTATGATTTCAGTTGTTGATTGTATAAATATACCGACATATGTTAAACAGTTTATATAGAAATACACAATCTGTCATCGTTACACGTCTATACTGGGGAACAATATATAGACCACGTATATAGACCCTTTATACTGGGGAACAATATATAGACCCTTTATACTATACCGGGGAACAATATATAGACCAATTATACTGGGGAACAATATATAACCCCTTTATACTATACTGGAGAACAATATATAACCCCTGTATACTATACTGGGGAACAATATATAGACTTTATACTATACTGGGGAACAATATATAACCCCTTTATACGGAGGAACAATATATAACCCCTTTATACCGGGGAACAATATATAGACCAATTATGTTATACTGGGGAACAATATATAGCCGTTTATAATTAAGAACCAGATATTGTTATATACAAAATACTTGTATATTTAGTGTAAAACGATAAAACACGATTTTATAAATATGTAAAATTCTCTCACGCATCGATTCGCGATAAAACATCAAATCTTTCACACCATGTAATTAATAGTACCCCCACCCCCTCCACACTCTCCGGTACTATAATCTTTCACACCATGTAATCAATAGCGGTATGAACAAAACCACTCTTTATAATAATACCCCACCCCCTCTACACACTCCGGTACTATAAACACCAAGAAGACAGTACAGGACAACTACACGGTAAAACCCAGACAGCGGAAACTGTACATAAATACATTTATCAATTTCATAAACGTTGATGTGTTGGCACTAATAGCCAAAATGAACTGAAATGACAATCTACGTCATACGGTATGCTTACTTCTACTAGAACATCTGATACCATTTCTCATTTGAGGAGTTCACATAGCTGACAATGCGATATATTTTATATGTAATTAGCACGAGGTAGGATATGCTCACTATTCCTGATAACATTTCTAATTTAAGGAGTTCACATAGCTAACAATACAGTATATATAATTAGCACCAAGATATGTTTACATTTTCTAGAACAGCCGATACCACTTGGTCCACATATACAGAATTGATGCGTGTTGTACCGGAGACAGGACATGCTTACTCATTCCAGAACACCTTATATCATTTCTTATATAAAGATTGCAAATAACTAACAATACGATATATATAATTAGCACTAAATTATTCTTACTCTTTCTACATTCAAAACACCTGATACCATATATATAGACCTACGTACCTGTGTGTAAATTAATACAGGTAAATGAATAATCCCCTTACAATATTAACCACACTCTCTTTTATAATCCTGTCACACTTTAAATAAATTTATCCTTCAAAATTCTCAATTTTAAAACAGATTTTTTTTTGTAAACAGACTGGACACGTGGTCTTATATCACAATATAATAATTCTCAATCCAGTTGACACACTGCCAGAAAATTATGCGTCATGAAATAAATTCGACCGGCATTAATTTATTTCTCGTTTTAATTTATTTGTTTTACAGTAATTCCAAATACTGGTTTCATTTCCTTCAAGATGATTTCCTTTATGTCTTGTTAATATTCAACGTTAATTATTAACAATATTAATTAATCGAGAAAATAAATCACAATCACAGAATGTTCTGGTATCTCCGCCTCCTTTCTATGATGATATTGATACAGAGTTTATATCTATATATGAATATATTATTAAATCACTGTAGTCTCTAGCCAGGACAAATATCCATCACACAATAACCTAACTTATAACACACTGTTATTTTAACGTTATAATTATTCAAGGGACATTACGTTGATAACGTTATACCGCGATTAATTATTTCAGATATAGAAGAGCGTGTAATGTAAACGTTTATAACATTGTACTACGGTGATTTCAGATATAAAAATAACGTATAATGTAAAGAGTTTATAACATTGTAGTACGATTATTTCAGATATAAAGAGAACGTATAATGTAAACGTTATACTGCCGTTATTTCAGATATAAAGAGAACGTATAATGTAAACGTAAAACTGCCGTTATTTCAGATATAAAGAGAACGTATAATGCAAACGTTTATAACGTTGTAGTACGATTATTTCAGATATAAAAAGAACGTATAATGTAAACGTTTATAACGTTGTACTACGATTATTTCAGATATAAAAAGAGCGTATGTAAACGTTTATAACGTTATACTGCGATTATTTCAGATATAAAGTGAATGTATAATGTAAACGTTTCAGATAGACAACGTATGATATTTCAGTTTTACGTCGCATGATGTAAACATTTATATCGTTATACTGCGATTATTTCAATATTTCAGTTTTAAAAAGATCGTATATATGACGTAAACATTTATAAAATAAACTACCACTTCCGGTTTTTATATATCATGGATTGTCTTCAGAGAGATTTCCCGAATGTTCTATCGGGGTTTTTTTTAGGGTGGGAGCTGAAATGCAATTTGTGGTATCAAAATAAAAAGAAAATTGTATTGCCGAATAAGGTAACAAACAAATATCAAATCTGATAGCGTAAGATTACTACGTCACCTTTCCTTATAAGGTAAAATATTATTTTATGTTTTGTTGGGTGTTGTTGTAAATACAGTAAAATGTTATTTATTGTAGCAATACCTGTAGCTACAGTAATTCTCGAACATTTACATTACTATTATTTTGAAGTCCATTAAGAACCTGTCTGATTGCTAGTGTCGCTTTGCCAAATAGTTAGACATTTCTGGAACTTCTTTTTTTCTGTCTAAGAATTTTGGTGAGCCGAACAATCGTGTATATAGGTGGTGGGAGCCTATGACGTAACTAATGGCCTTGGTGTATCCGAATCTGGACTTCTTTCTATTTACAATCAATATTTCTAGTTTTAGACTTCAGACTTCTATTTTATATTTATCTAGGGAAGAATGGGGATTACATTTTCTATGAGTGTGCGTTACTGACACGTAACGGTGATTTTAAGATTCCAAATGGACTAATCTACATCGGAGCAAATGAAATTAAACGTCCTACATTTCTACTCCATCCGTGCTCATGAGACCGGCATACACCATACAGTATGCTACGGCCTACTCTCATTTCGAATTGCAACAGTCAAGAGTTCTTTTAAGTGCATGGCAACGTGTTCAAGGATCTCGGCTTAATGGACCATCCGAACGACTAGACACGAAATAATTCTGAGCATTGAAAACATTGACGAGCTTAATGTCCCTTTAAGTCTGGTGTTTGTATGGAATGCGTGCAGAGGTTATAATAATACTTGTACTGTTGGTTAGATGTACGTGGTGTTATTTAACTAAACCGTATTAACAACAGTTACAGCAAATATACCCTGTTACATACATAATAGACACATGTTACACTTGGATTATACCATGACCCCTTGACCCCTTCATCTCTATAACCCCTGACATGTCTTTTATCTTGGTCCTGTCTGGTGTATGACGTCATGATTATTGTAATTAGTCACCGATTGACACCGATTAATTACATAGAGATAATTAATAGTTTGTATGTCTCCTATTTAACATAATCTGGATTCATTCATTCATTCATTCATTTAAATAATTGACATACCGGTGAAATGTTCGCACGCGCTTTAATGTCTAAATAGCTCCACATACGGTCAAAATGTACACGATGTCATAAATATGTGTCTTGACAGTTGTAATTGGAAATACGGGTATAGGCGGTAGGGCAAAATTTCCCTCATAACACACTGTAAGGCGTATACCCGTCTCTATTAGCCCAGTCGGGCCAGAACTGTAGAACTTAAAACTTCATTTCATTTCATTTCAATGGAGGCGTGTTAGATCTTAAACTTAACAAAATCATAAAATATGTAATAAATCACCAGATAATTTGGCTATCTGACACGGGTAAAATACCAGCTGATTAATATTTATAGGTCTAAAGTTCTTCAAGAACATTTTAAGATCATCTCACGTAAAGAACTAGTGACGTCATTCTATAAATATTCCAAAAAAATCTCTTTCAACGAAAATAAGGTCAACAGCTACAAGTAGAATTGAAAGAACGCCAACCTCTTAAAAATCTCGTAAATGGAATATATTTCTGTTACTGTATATCATTAAACGTTTACCTTTCATTCTATATTACTGACCGATATAATCAAACGATGCTGACAGGTGTGAACATACAATCTCTTCAAATAAATACTTCGCTTAAAAGCCAATTTCTAGTTTTTTATCCACACTCAGAAAATAAATTTCCTATAAATTCAATAAATTTAGAGTAGACACAAGACTAATTTTAGCGTGCTTTGTATAATTTCACCATTTCCCGAAATAACGCCATATTGCATGAATACTCCAATAGAAATATCGAAAACGGTTCAAGGTATGTCTTACAATCATGTATTCATCATAAAGGGTTAAATATACATGGGAGATTTTATAAAGAGTTGGCTGTTCTCATTATAACAATTAAAAACTAGATAATACCAAGGGAATTTGCTGAAAATTTCAGTCAAACTGATCCATGGAACTATGACCGAGAATTTAGTGATTGAATTTAAGGCCTAGCCCCGATCATCATTACTAAAGTCGGTACGATAAAAACATAGTCTCGATTATCCATATTTTGATTTAATCATCAATGAGCGTTGAGCAGCAGATCGGATTTCAATTCAGTACATATCGCAGGCTAGCGATGACATCGAGAGTTGATTATGGTCTGGTTAATTAATTAATGTCTAATTAATAATTTAGATAACATTTCAGGCCTAAAGAAAGACTCGCAATAGGCAGATTTAGCTCTTTCATAATGTATGTTTAACTAGTATGAATTTTAACATGACATCCAAGTACACGATCTCCCATACAGGGTTGTCTTCCCTGGATAGCGAGACTTGTGTGGAGAATAACAAGTACAGTGGGAATTCGGAGTAACTTGTATTCCAATGATACGAACATACAAAGAACGTGTACGAGGAAAGTGTAAAACAGATCCCTGGAGAGTTGAAATTCTGTTATTAACCTCTCAAAATCTTCCATCAATTGATTAACCGTAGAAAATAAATTAACTTATGCTGGTCTCATACCGAGCTTGTGTACAGGCTTGCTATTTCATAAACTGCTTACGAATATGCAAACTCGCAGTAAAAGGGTGCAATAATCTACCAAGGGAAGGTAGTTTTATACTCCATATATCTCGAATAGGAATTCTTTAGCACTTTAATCTGATGTATCCTTATTTAAATGTTCTCTGGACTATAATAATACTAATAAATATGAATTACAATATATAGTTGGGAAAATATGTAACCTCTAGTAATTTGAAGTCTGGTAGCGAAATACTGGAGTAAAAGAAGTTTGTCGAATATCCTATATCTCGAATAGGAATTCTGTTCCACGTTTACTTCGACATATCGTTATTCTACTGTACTCTAGACTATAAAATCAATAAACGTGTAGTACATGGTTGTTTTGCTGTATTCTAGACCATAATACTAATAAACTTGCAATTTTAATATAATATATATAGATCATAATATACTAATAAACGTGCAGTACAATAAGAAATATATATTGTTGGTACAATAGGAAACTTCTAGAAGTGTAATTATAATATAAACACATAGCAGTTTGTATACTTTAGAAACATTTACCTATTCGTATGTGCCTATTGTTATTGCCCACACCATACAAACAATTCATTCATACCCAACTCTATATCATAGGAGAAAAATGCGGTTTATATTCGTTGTATAAAATATATATAACATTAGTACGACTACAGAACAATAACAACCATCCCTTGTTTTCATGACATTATGTCTACACCTCGACTACCCTTTTTTTCTAAATTAATTTTAATGAATAACATGTAGGATATAAAGAAATGAAATGAAATGGGGTTTAACGTCCTACTGTTCTGCTCCTATGCTGGGCTAATGAAGACGGGCATACGCCATACAGTGTGCTATGAGGGAAATTTTGCCCGGGCAGCGGCACTATCGCCTACTCTTATATCGAATTCCAACTGCCAAGGGATCTTTTACGTGCATTCCAATGTATACACGGGACCTCGGTTTTTCGTCTCATCCGAAGGACTAGACAGCTGTCCTTGTCAGGCCCTCCGTCCTGCATCACTGACAAGGGGGAACCACGCCGGAAAATCTGGATGAACTTCCTCGGCCAATGCAGGGATCGAACACCCGACCTCCAGGCTAGCGAGCCAGCGTCTTACCCACTTAGCCACGTGATCCTTGGGTAGCATTTAGAGAGTGAGCACAATACAAAAAACTTATATGGACAACAAAAAACATTTGTGGAAACGTCACCAGTGATTGTTTTCCTTAAAAATGTTGTGTAGACTGACTGATTTAACATGGCTTTCAAAACCTACTCTTATATCGAATTCTAACTGTCAAGGGATCTTTTACGTACACGCCAATGTGTACACGGGACCTCGGTTTTTCGTCCCATCCGAGCGACAATACGTTGTCCCTATAAGTCAGGCCTTCGGTCCTGCATCACTGACAAGGAGGAACCACACTGAAAAATCCCAATGAACTTTCTCGGCCAACGCAGGGATCGAACACGGGACCTCCAGTCTAGCGAACAAAAGTCCTACCCACTGAGTCCCTGTTTAACTATAAACCTATATATT